TATGTTCTATATATATATATATATGTATGTGTATGTGTGTGTATGTGTATATGTCCATACATACATACCTACCTAGCTACCTACCGACCTACCTACCTACCCGCCTACCTACCTACATACATACTTACTTACATACATACTTACATAAATACATACATACATACACAAATATATATATATATATGCATATACATACACAGACCTATATATAATGCAGCCAAGGAGGCCATCAGGTGGCATTTTCTTGCCGACTGCCGGTGATGCGCCTAAGAGTCTCGAACTTGTCGAAGGCGTGTCAGCGCACCTCGCAGCTAGGTACAGGCGATCCATGTAAAACAATACTGGGTTTGTGCTCAGCCCAGCTGCTCTGGAATGCGCGTTGGCGCAACCTGTGGTGTGCTTGATGGCGTAAACTCTGTTGAAAGAGTCCTCGCTGGCATGTCAAAATGTAGTCTAAACTGCTGTCGCGAATTGACACACTGGATATCACTGGATCACTAGATGATGCAATGTCAGCTTGTCTCCTGATCGATTCTTTGTCTCGCGGCAGAGACATGCTCGACTCAGCACCTCACAAACAAGCCAAGCCTAGGCTTTGCTCCACTGCGCCGCAGTATTCGGATCACATTCTCCCGGCCTACCACAGTCCCAGCCGTGCTTCGTCGGTCAACGCTGAAGGACAGGGGGGAAAAATGATCCACTTCGGGCGAAGCCTCACAAGTCTGGCCTCAGCCGTCAATCATGGCCAGGCTCGGCCGATTACAGCGTCGCACTCTGTGATTGCTGGTGTCGGTGCTGCTAGTCCTTCTGCCGGCCAGATGCTTCCCTGCGTCCCCATCTCAACCGGATCCTGTCTCACATCCTCTGAAAAGGGATTCGTGTCCTTAGCTTGGGTGCTCTTGAATAAGGAATCCATTCGCGCACTGGAGTCGAGCAGTGGAAAGGAGTCTCGCACGAATACACAAAACGCACGCGGGGTTCGCAAACGGGCATGGAGCCGGAAACCCGAAAATCATCGGCGGTAGAATTGGATGTGAGAAGTGCTGCATGCGGTGGCGCTTGAATTGGCAGTGCTCGAATCGAGGTCCTGCCTAAAGGGTGCTTTGTAACTGCTCTTGGTGTCTGCTCCGGCACCTGCTTTGCTTGCCTAGTCTCGCGTCTCGGACCACGAGGTGGACTGAGGGTAGTCGTATCAGCCACGGAAAGAGCGCTTGCCTGTCCAATTGAGGCGCAGGGCCCTCAATGTAACAGGAGTGTAACACCAAAACAACAGTCGCGAGGCAGCGAAGACCCTCTCATTTTAGGTACTCAGATGAACCTAGAGTCCTAGAGCTCAAAAAAAAACGCCAACAGCAGATAAGCTTGACGAGGCCACAGGCGTCGAGTAGTCCTCTGGCCGATTCCCTTGGCTCGGCTTGGATAGAATTCTTTCGGCTCTGCTGCTCTTTACAAATCAAGGCAGATCAAAAGTGGGCTTCCCGCCCCGGTCTTTCTTGATGAGAGCCCCCGAACAAGGCCTAGACTGAATCACCGTGCTGACTTTCGCCCCGCCCCCTCATTCCTCACAGACAAGACGCCCCATGGCGCGGGACCCAGAGATTTGTGGTGCCAAGATGTGCGGCCTGGACAGGAGGAAAGGAAAGCTCAGCTATCGAGAAAGCCGACAAGAAGCAAAGCCTCTTGGACCAGTGTGGGAAATCCATCCGTCGCTGGGGAGATTCTTAGGTCACCAATGATGCGTGCACTGACGGTTCTGCGGTGCGGAGCGGCCCAAGCTCCGCACGGTCACCAAGTCTGATGGTGCGCCAGAGTCGGGCGCGCGTGGTGCGTCGGTGTCATGTGCAGGAGGCAGCGCTGCCGGAAAAGGGGGAACTGGCAGCATGGCAGTTTCCTCGTTTGACAAGGCAAGTCCGCCACTGATTCTCTTCAGGACGTAGTGTCTCAGTGCAGCGTTGGAGTCCTTGAATCCGCACAAAGCTCGCCAGGTCGCGCGGATTGCGGCAGGCACACTCCCGCTCCTTCAGCCCAGCTCTCCATAGTAAGGTCAATTGCAAGCTAAGCCCTCCGCGCCGTGACTGCTACACACACCAAGGCACACTTTAGGCCAGCCACAGACAACCACCTCCCTTTGAACCCAATCTCCCCGCCTGCGCGACGACCCCTGCCAGGCAGGCAACAATTCACAGCAGCTCCAAGGCTCCCTCAGCCTCCCTCCCTATCCTGCACTAAAATTTTAAAAACTGTGCATAGCAGCATAGCAGCTTTTTCAACACGCGGCAAACGGACGCATCGAGAGCCCGCCCGGATTTGCACAGTGCCGTCACAGGTGCTGGGCGACAATGGCGGTCTCACACTCGGACTTGACCAGATGAGGTTCTTTGTTGGTGGTAGGCAGCATGAGAGCCAAACAGGTCAGCTGAAACTTGCCGCTACTCGAGGATTTCGTAGCCTTCTGGTGGAATAAGCAGCATGGAGCGAGTCATCAGCTGGTAGCGCATTACAAAATGAGAGAAGCGAGCACAGAGCCTTCTCTCGGCCTCGAGCATGTCAAAGTGTTGCCTATGGTGGAAATACACATGGGCGAAGATTCGGTACAAACGTCGAGACATGGATTGAAAGTATTTTGTACTGCTACTCGGCACCTGCGATCGGGAAGAGAAAGGACATGCCACAGTGAGCAAAGCCGTCGATCCATCAATAGTATGCGTCATGTAGTCAATAGCTGCACATTCCTGCGGCTTCCTGTGCGCAGCACACAAATATTGCCAGTCGTTGGAGGCAGTCATTTTGGGGCATGTCTCCGGGGTGCATGTGCCGGTCAGCGCGACAAGGAGCAAGTTAAATTCGATGACAAACTGACGCAGGTGCTCATACTGCCATACCAAAGGATCAGTGTCGGGACTCGGTAGCTCATAGATCCTGTCCAAGTCTGAAGGGTCCTCCCGCAGCAGATCTTGGATGTATTCAGCAAGCGCGAGAGGACCATGGTACGTTTCGAAAGGCCGTGCCCGCCAACTCCACATCTGCGCAGCCTTTGTGCCAGGAAGGTTTCGCGGACGGGACGGTCTTGCAAGTGGATCAGCATTACTCCGAGCCATCGGGTGGATCTGGGGCGGAGAGAGTGATCTAAGAGATCATGGACTAAATACTGCTGCCTCATGCAGGTGTAGGGCCCTTTGAGCATTGCGCCAGGGACTGAAGGCTGCACAGGAGGCATGCTTCCTGAAACCATCAATGGCAGGCTGCTCACGCTTTTTTCTGAAACGGCTCATCCGACAAATGCTGCTGCCATTGACTCGGGATCCGCAGCTGCCGCGAAAAGGCGCTCCACCTGAGGTCCATGAAGAAAAAGGAAATCCTAAGCCCCCACCCCTTTAATTGAACCCAGACTCCGCCAATCAGCTGGGAAGCAGCACTAAACTCTAAACCCTAAGCCTCAAATCCTAGCCTGAACCCTAAATCCTGCCCCAGCCTGCCTGAAATGCTGAGCGCAGCAAATGCAGGCGCTCCTTATGAGAGCGGCTTTGCAAGAGCAGCTGCCCCAAGCTGACCTGCTGGACAGAAGTAAACAAGAAGGTCGACAGTAACAACAATAGCTGTTTGATAGTACTACCAATCACGACACACCTTTTTTGCAATACGAATAGTAAAATTAATGCACCTTAGCCTTAACTATAAAAATTTCAAATAATGTCTTTGTTATTGCTCTTGTTGTGGTTATTGGTTCCTGTTCTCGTTAGTTAGATACTGATAGTCTTGTTGTTACTTTTTTTGTTGTTGTTAGTGCTATTAGTACGGGATAAAACGAAATACGGGCCCGTGAGTTAATAACAATAATCCCAACAATCGTAATAACCGCAATGCTTAAAATAATGCTGATAATAATAGCAGTGATAATAATAACAATCATAGTAAAATACTAATCGTAGGATAGCAATAACTATCTTAAGTATGATAAACTAAATAACAATAACTGATAACTATAACAGTAGTAAGAAAAACAGTACTCATGACACTGTAACAAAAGTAATCATGTTCATCATCGCAAAACGAATCACAACAGCAGTATATACATATATGTATATATGCAGTCATATATGGATATCGCGTGCCTGCTCCCCCACGAGGCGAAGAATCTCCGCGTCAAACCTTCAAAGATTGCAACTGCCATCCAGATTGCTGGGTCTTTCCGCTCCTGGGGATCCGACACAGATTTGAGCTCGCGCACCTGGGATGGCAGCTATACCCTTCGTGGCCCCCAATCTCCAAGATGTCCTAAACCCTTCTCGCAGCATGTCATGAAAATTGGCCTCTCCGTGTACAGACGGCGGCATGTCGCTCGGATTTATGCTCTCCTTGGGGCGCCACGGCAAAGGAAAGAATCCTGGTTCAAGTCACGGCAACGGTCCTGCATGTGCTGGCTAGCGTACTGCTCATAGATCTCCTTGACTTGGGAAAGCATCTGCTGCTCGATCGCTCCTGAAACATCAAATACTGACAACACTGCCGCCAACAATAACGATGCAACACCAACAACACTATCGGCATCACAAGCACCAAACAGCGGCCCTGCCAACCGACGATGCACTCCAGTTTCTCACCAGCCACAAGAGTCTCAACAAGACAGCTGGACAACCAGAAAGGAGTCCGTAGGAGTCCGTACAAACCGATAGGGCAAGCCTAGCTGGCCTAGCTTCAAGAAGATCATGTCCTTTCAACTTAGCATGTCAACAGTGCAACGCGAACTTGTGCTGCTTGGTCAAGTCTCTCAGGCACGGGTGCTTTGTACCGACATGAGCAATGGCACTCCGCACCCTCAAACGGTTGACAAGAGCGACGCCACATCCTTGCAGCACATATATCTTTACCAGGCACTACACATACTCCCACAGTCACTTGCAAACATGTACTGCTCAAACTGACTGCACCTTCCTACCCGCCATGCCCCGGTGCCGCAAAGAATGGGCGCGCAACAGACTGTCCCGTCAAACCTACTTTCTTCCTCACTCGGGCATGTAGGTCTTTCCTCGGTGTGAACCTTCCCTTCTTTCGGTGGAACGGGTGCAGCGAAGGGCAATCAGGCATCAATGCTCGCCGATGATTTAAGATATCGGTTGCATTCAGCACTCGGCGGCACATCGGGATGGTTATCGGCCAGAAAATCATACAAAATGAAGAGCATTTCGTTCCCAAAACTGTCCAGTATCCTTCGCACCACTTGTCACGGATCGTGCCGAGTGTACAGAGGGACTCCCCAAGCACACAAACATAAACCAAAAAGGTGCTGCAATCGCGGCACTAGTATGGCATACTCAGTTGTTCGCCATGCATCTTCTGGACAGCTTCTTGCCTCATGAAGACCGCTTTGGCTCAGCCAAGCTTCGCAAGCGGTGTCCAGCGTACTTGTCCAACCACAACCTCGCGGTTCACATGTAAAACACACGCAAAACCTGGAGACCGCAAAAGGAAAAGCTAGAAAACCCTGTTGGAATGCTTGGAGAAGGCCGAGGAGCGAAGCCAGCTGCCACAAACCGCCCTCGCGCGATGCATTCACCCCTCCAGCTGCAACTTCAGCATGCAGATCCTGGGTCGCCAGGCAAGGGGTGCGCAGAAGGCCACGGATCGCTGCGTTCTCTGACTGTCAGGGAGGCATTTGGCCACGGTGCGTCGACGTCCTGGACTAGGGACGAAAAGAGCTCAGTAACCTCGACCTTGCTTCGAGGCAGCCAAGCAAGGCAAAGACACACTGATGCCGCTCACAGTACCTCTAGATCGTGCAACTCATCCACATCACCCGAATCGTCTTCCACCTCAGTTCTTGAAAGCACTGCAGACTGCACCGTGAGGCAAAGATAGATTGGCCGATAAGCCCATGCTCAGGCTTTGGCCGGAGATGCTGAGACTCGAAGATAGCCCTTCTGGTCCGCTCGGTCTTCTGGACCGATGACTCGGTGAATTTGTACGCGAGACTTCACTGTGTGCCTCGGCTACTTCTTGCAGATCCTCATCTTTACCGTGACGTAATAATGGAGCAACGAGGCTGTAGCTGCCAGGGCGCTCTGCGATGTATTTTATCTTCCCATCTGTCTTCTCTGCCACATCCACAACTTGATCCACCTGAAAAATCACACCTGGGACGGAGCATGACGGAGCAAAATGTTGCCAGCAAGTTTGCCAACATGGGTAGACTCTGAATCCAAAAGGCCCGCACCATAAGATGCCAAGCGTGCAGTTTCCGGGTCTGTTGCAGTCACCACGAAGGTTCTCTGTCCGGACGACAGGACGTCGTGGTAAAGCTGACGATAGCCTGCGGGAGTGACGTTTAAAGCCAACTTGACCTGGAAAAGCCACAACTGCGCGAAAAACTGCTCAAGCGGGAGAGAGCACTACTTGCCCTGCCCAGCCCACTGCCCTCAGACTCCAAACCACAACTCAAGCAAAGGGGCAAGAGGACGTCTGCAAACCTACGAAGTATTTCCAAATTCCGGCCATGCGGCGAGGCTCGAAAATCTGCAAGGTCTTAGCAGCAGTATATGCACTGATCTATCATGATCTAAATTTAAATTATAAGCGCATGAAGTGTCGGAAGCAATCACAGAGCGCCCGTCTACATCCGCTGAGCCAGCCGCTGGATGCGAATTCAAAGCGTAGAATGTCGTGCCAAGCCTCGGGCAAAGAGGGCACCGGTCACGGCTGAAGGACTTTTTTGACAGAGCCTGAACTGGGAAGCCCGTTGTTGCACAACATCGGATCCAGCTTTGAAGTGCGACATATCGAGCTGGCCAACCAGTGATCACAGTCAGGCAACGGAAACAAAGGCAGCTCAGTAGTGCCCGACCTCAATGCCAAATGATGCTAAGAAGGGCTTGAGTGAAAAGTCATGATCCAGGAGCGCTGCAGGCCAAAGCTGCTGACTTGCCTGTTCTCCCCGGTGGGGGTGAGCCATTTCACCGACTTCTCCGAGAGAACAACCTGCTAGCATATGCACGTGCTCAGTAGGACCAACCTCACGTTGGCGTTCTCCTGCTCTTTCTGCTCATGCTGACGTGAAGATTTCAGGTTGTCGTTGCGGTGGTTGCTGCTGTTGTTGTTTTTGCTGCTGCTGCTGCTGCTGCTGCTGCTGCTGGTGATGGTGCTGCAGAGCGGAGCCCAAGCTGTATTGCTGCTTTGGCTCTCAAGTTTCAACGAGACAGCGCTGCTGCTCCCATCGCACAACCGCTGCCACAAACTCCGACCACAGCTTTGGGTGTTGCAGTGCTTGCAGGCTCAATCCTTCAACTTGTGTCTCAGCTGGTCGGATTGGTTTGAACAAGTCGCCGTGGCTTGTTGCAGCTTCTTACTCCTCTTCATCCTGTTCTTGCGCGTTGGATGGCGGCCAGGCTTCCGATGAACGATATCCTAAACCTCTCTCAGTGGTTGTCTCGTAGGATCCTGGTTAGATTATGTTCGGGATGCAGCTGGCTGATCAATCCTGATCACTGAAGGTTGGACTTTCACTTCTTGTGCCGGTGCGGTGTCCAATGCTGAAGGCGAGTTAAACTCTGTTCCGGCTCTGCCTGAACATGCGCATGCTCAGGATACCATCACATCTCCTACTTCAAAGCGGCGGGGGCCTCGTCGTTTCGTGCTTGCCGTTCTGGCTCCTCGTCCCTCTGCGGCGTGACCGTGGGAGATGCTGGAGCCTCCGCTTCCTTTGGCGGATGTTCTGCCTTAGGCCGTGCGGTTCATGCCGATGCCGACTTCCGCTCCACAGACTGACAGGCTCTGGCGAGGAGGGTCAGCTCATCTTGGAGGTATGGATAAACGTATGACCTCGGATCGTAGTCTGCTCAGACCGACATGATTTACAGCAGGCGGCCACTGCAAGCAAGCTCAGCCTGCAGCCAGAGCAGTTGGAGAAGAAGCAAAGACGCAGGCAGCGTGAGCTCCAGGGGGAAGCGCACCATGCTTCATCCATGAACCGTGGCTTGGCGCTAGCGTTTCAATTCAGTGGTGCTGGTCGTGTGAGCAATCGGCCCAGGATGAATTCGTTGTTTTTCGTGCGCTATGTGGTTGCCTCCGCAGCGCGGATGCATGCAAGATATGCTTAGCCACAACTCTACACACTTTGCTGGCCTAGTTTGGGGGTGAGGGTCCGGTCATGTCCTCTCAGCGGCATGCCGTGAAAGCCCTAGTCTTGTGCACCTAATTCCTGCACGTCTGGACCTGAACTTTTCAGCTAAACCACATGCCGAATGAGAAGCACACAGAGCCAAGACCAATTGATGCATCTCTTCTTACGCGACAGTTTCTACATGCAGGCCACACGAAAACTGCAGTCTGCCTGCGCGAAGAAAAGACAGGACTGAAAAGCGCTTTTGTCAGGGCTGTCCTCAGGCTCAGGGGTGATCAGTGTCCGTGGGCTGTATGGGCAAATCCAAAAATACATAATCCAAAATACAACCGTCCTCTCTGGCCCGATCACGATTGGGCAAGGGCAGTGAAAGGGCCTCAGAACAAGTCCAGAAGGAAGAGCATCGGCAGCATAAGTGTAGAATTAAGCTACCGCCATCCCTTTCAGGCAAGAACCATGGCCTAACTTTTTGAAGCACGACTGCGATCCGCGTCGAGGCTTTACTGACTGAGGACCTGGCTGCTGCGCTGGCATCCTTCCCGGCGCTGGTTGCTGGCTGGGGAGAACGAGTCCTGAGCGTGCAAGAGTGTTCAGGTGGCAGATTCTGAATCTTTACAAAGTCCCGGTGAAGGCAATCGTTGGATCAAGTTGTATCCAGCAGAACGGAATGGATGCCTCGCCTCTCGCCGGCACTGCTTCGAGGGATACATCGAGGTCCATGCATTGGGGCACAGGCGCTTGTGGCCTGCCCCAAGACAACATTCAAGTGGCTTAGCACAGAAGCACGTGTCGAATCCTGCATCCAACACAGAGTGCGGACCTGTTCTTCTTCTGGCTCGCTGTAGTCACCCATCGGAGCTTCGTCCTGGCACTTGCGACATGCACGGACCCCCACACGAAGTAAACAGTGCTGTCCTCGAGGGCGGAGCCGTTTTCTATACGAAGCGCAGGCCGGCTGCTTGCTCTCCCCATGTTGGCCTCCCCGCAGGCGTGCCGGCTCACGTGCTCAAACGACACTACGGTACCGGCCGAGGACGCGGCTAAAGGAGGAAGCCGTGGGAAGGCATCACCAACCTCCGAAGATTGCTAAGGCGAGCAGCCATGGAAGAGGGCGCTGCAGCTAAGCACCGGACACGTGCACGAAAGTGCGTGGACGAGAGCACATTCTGGAGCTGAGACTTGGAGAGCGCGGCACGAAGCGCAATCGGGCATGCGCCTGCGTACACCTACACTTCCTGTCTCCCAGGCGCCGGGCGCAAGCATCGCCCAGGCCCTCAACGACATGCGGAAGTCTCTCGGGCGATGAGTGAGACTTCAGCTCCTGGCTCCGAGGCACAGTGAGGCATGGCATTAGGACCCTTCGGATTCTTAGACTCTGCTTGCGACACTTCTGTGTCTGAGTTGTAGTCCACAGCTTTGTCGACTTGCACTTAAGTTCTGTGGGAGTGGGCGCGGGCATGGCACGGTCCACGGTCAGAGTCGTTGGCTTCCGAAGTTGCACGGGCCTCCTTTCGTGCTTTCCCTGCTGCTGCTTGCTTCTTGCCGTCCAGACAGTACTTGATCTACTGATGCTGGGGTTCTGGTGTTGCGGGCTCGGCTGCTTCAAAGCCACACCAGTCCGGAAGGTTGCAACGGTGAAGACAGTCCTCCAGGCTCTGGAGCAACGCCGCCAAGTGACCTTGCTGGCACGCCGGCTTCACCCCCCCATCACATTGCGGGCAGGCCGGGTGTCTCGCAGTCCCGTCCATCCTCAGAGAGCCAACAAAGTGTCTCACAAGGGCGCTTCCTCGAAAAATGACAAGCAGCGAGTGCTCGCTGGATGGCCGCATGGCCGCGAGCAGACATTCCTTAGCTGCGGACCCGACTCCTCGCACCCAACATGCTATGTAGCGCATTCACCGTTCGCAGCTGGCAATTCATGGCAACAACATGTTGCTTGCAAGAGGCGTTCGGAAGGCAGTGGCTTCTTCAAGCTTCTTCCACGCGCTTTCGCAATCACCAACTCTGCATCCACAGCCCTGTTCAGACCTGCAAAGCACAGCACTTACAGAGCCCTTTACCTCTTCAGCCAGTGTCAACCAGCTGCGGTTAACATGAGATGACAAATCCTGCTGCCCTGTCGTGCCCGCCTTTCAAACTGCTTTGCAGCCGCTGAAGCTTCTCTACCATGCAGTCCAAACCTTACAATCCAAATAGCACGTTTCGGCGCTGGACGCGATCTGTCAGCCGAGGGGCAGGGATGGAGCCACAAAGCCACGCGGATCATTCCGTAGTCGCCCAAGCTGTCGCTGATTCGATGGAACTGTGAAAGCACCTGGTGTTTTGGAGAAGCTTCAAGCAGCTTCCAACCGTCTTGTGTTGTCGCCGGTCAGTGGGATGGGTTGGTCTCTGGCCTCCCCGATCAAATACAACAGGTCGAAGAGCGACTCAACAGCAATTAACAGGTTCTCCCGCGCGTCCTCTGGATGAACACCAGGAATCATGCAATGCATGTACCGGCACTGGGTTTAGTCATGTTTAGTCTTTTCGAGATCCTGCTGTGCTGGCTCTCGAAAAGGCCCAGCCAGTCCGCTTGTCTTGAATTGACCAGTCTCGAACTCCTTCGGGCCGACAAAAACGGGTGAAATGTCATGCTACTGCTGCGCAACTTGCTGTCATGCGTTGCATATCGTCGTAGCATATCGTAGCATGACCCGTCCTCTCGCACCCGTCGCACTTGTGTGGGAAAGCCAGCAGGAATGCTCTCCGGAGCCTCGATCAGCGCCGTGCTGCCTGAGGCTTGCAGTTCATGCCGCGTCGCCCGGACTTGTCTAGGCTGCGGCCTTCCGGCGCAGCCTGTGCAAGCTCCTGGCAGGCAACGATGCACACAATGCACACAACTTCACACACGTGAACGTGCGCATGTACCACGGAAGCTACGGGGCCTCCTCTGCCCCGTTTCCGGCGAACAGGTGAAAGGTCCAGCGAAGGCTGAGCAAGTTACTAACCAGCATTCCAAGCATGGTTTGCCAGGCATCCTGCGAAACTAAAGCTCTTCACTTGGCATGCAAGAATACGATTTCCGATAACGTGACACATCCCGCAGAGTATCGTCCTGCATAACCTTCTGGAGCTGGGGGTCAGTTCGACTTGGCAGCGGGGTGCGACCTCTGCAGCGGACAGCGTGAGATCTGCCGCCCAGGACATCTGTTGCCGAGCATCGCACTTGCGGGGAGTGACTGCCAAAGCCTCGAGGCATAGCATTAGTTAATGCTGGATTTGACTAAATGAACTTCACTGATACAGCGTCATTTTAGAACATCATCTCTGACACTGACACTTCCTGCGATTATTCGGTCATCCGAGGCACACAACCACCTCAAGCGAAGGCAAGCTGTCCGTCTGTGTCAAATGCGTCGCCGCTAGTAGCAAGAATGCAACCACGTCCGAGATCAGATTGCGACCTGGCGAGTTCTCCAACTCATGTTAGTCTGCACCCCTCCTCACAGGTCATAGACAGCATACTCCTGATCTCAAAGCTCAGCTGGACGCTCAGCGACAAGCATCTCGCCGCAAGTTCGGCCTCAGATTCGAAAGGTTCCTGTCTCTTAGCCTTTGGAGGCCTTCATCGCTTTGAATAGGCACACTACAGCTCTATGCCCGGAAAACTGCGCCCTCGGGTCCTGGCGCAGGTTCTGTCACGTTCCAAAACCTGCCGCAGCTGCAGCTCCATGTGCTCGTAGACTTCGCCTCAGCGGGGAAAAGAGTGATCTTCTTCCGATTCTTGCTGCTTTTTCTAATGTACGCTTCTGTTGTCCATCATAGTCTGTTATAGTCATAATAGGCTGCTACTGGTCTGTGTCTCGCCGGGATTGCTACCAGGAATAAAACCCTCAAGCCATTCAACACGGTCAGCAGAAACCACAGCTCAAGCAGCTAGGCAAATTCGCTCTGGATGGGTGAAGCTTTTTCGCTTGGCAAGGGAAGCAAGTCTTTCAAACTGCCTGCAGCGCCCAAGCCTGTAGTAAACCAATGATGACACCTAAAAAACCACCCACCACCAACAGGATCCACTCATCATCCTGAAATATTGGATGAATAATGCTTTCAAACTCCGGTGGCGAAATGCGCGAAAGGCGCCAGGTCAACGTCTCCTGCACATTCATCGTCCTGTCCATGTAGTCTTCAATCGCTTTTGAGTGCTGTGGCAAAAGCTCCAAGGAAAAGTCTATCACATCCTGCTTCATCTCATCAATCTGAGAGCCAAGTGTGGCTGGCGCGACCATGGCCATGTTCTTGGCAATGCCCATGCTCTTGTCGACAGACCGGCCGACGTGGTTCCGATAGATTTCCAAAACCTTTTCCACCCCCGTGGAAGAAGGAGACCGCAGCATGTAGTTGAGCATGGCTCTAGCATCCACTACGTTTCTACAGATAAGCTCTGCCATCTTCTGCGATGCCTCGCGCTGCCGCTTCAAGAAGACCCCTTGCACATTTATTCGGCCATTACAGAACTGATGAGGCCAAACTGGGCGGAAAGTCATTTTTAATGCCAACAGATTGGTAAAGTAGCCAATGATCAGTCCAGAAACTGGCAGCATGATGTAGTCCATTCCCGGCTTGTCCTTCAACATAATGTAGAATACCACTTGAACGAGCCCGAGGACGAAACCCATCACGGCTGCCACACGCTGAATGAAGACCAATTCCTTCAGTGCCACAGACCTGAACATATCCACCATCATGCGAGGGTTGTTTACAAAAGTCTCGACTGCCATTTCCTGCAGGTCAAGAATAGAGCTGATGTTCGTCTTTAAGTCCACCATAGCCTTGCCAAAACTCTGTTTGGTGTCCTCCAGGACCTTCAGTTTCAGCTCATGCTGCACGGAACTTGGAAGCGCTGTCCAAACTGTAGGCAACCGCTTCAACATGATCTTTTCCAAGACCTGGAAGCAGAGGCCGCCCATAAGGTCTTCCAAGGCGTCAAAGAAATGCTGTGGCTCAATGCGGTCCATGAATTCTTCAACGGTCACGAGGTTCCCAATCCTGCATCAAGAAGAAACGTGGCAAACTTGCAACTTCCCAGATATGTTGGTCGCACATGCGAGATCAGCTGCGTTTCGGGATTGGAACAGCCTACCACCTCACCTCTTTGCATAAGTAAGCTTGCAGCGAAGACTCATACGCTCGGTGGCCCGTCGGGCCATGACGCCAGCTTTTCGCGGCACAATGCCCTGCCAAGCAAATCTCGCTTCCGAATACGCATCACGTACCGTACACATTTCAAACTCGGGAGCTGTGTAGCAGCTCCATTTTTTTTCCCACCCGCCCAGCTGACTAAGTCGCACCGCAGGGAACTCGTTCGTCGAACAAGAAAGGACTATACTGGGGAAGGTCCGAGGCAATATGGAATCCCCGATAAAGGAAGCCAGGACCAAAACACAACCAGCAGCTCCAACTAGTTAGCAGGATGCCGCCTTAAGCACCCACCTGATGCACGACAATTACAGCTGTAGACGGATGCGACACCAAGGCATCCTGTGAGCCCTCACCAGAGAGTGGGGCACGATAACCCCCCCTGCAAAAAGCGGGGATCTTGATGCGGTCGGCCCTGTCTATTGCTGCATCTGCCAGACCTCAAAATTACCGCATGCGCGCACCCTTAATTTAAGCGGCGTGGCTGAAAGAGTGGAGTAAGAAGTGGATTGATCCCCAGTCTGCCTTGCATACCTCTACTCTCCCGACCGAGTCCTTGCTCTTTCCTTTCACTGCAAATGTCGGGAGGCCCGCCCCCGTTCCCCCCGCACTGCACACGCTCTAGTGACTCTAGTGGTTGGCGCCTGCTTTGAATGAACTAGAGAATGCTGCAAGAGCCGGAAACAGAACTGACTGAAGGTTGGTTGGTGACAATCCCTTTCGTGCCCATACATGTGTGGTCGTAATAAGCCCCCTCCACGCCACAAGTAAAACTAAGGTAGAAAGAACTCTAAGCTGATGTCGCCACATCTCGTCACCAGGACCAAAGGCACAATATGTCTCAGCTGAGAGGGTCAAGTTGGCGTCTCACCCCTGCCTGCCTCGTGAGAGATACCTGGATGCCATGATACAGTACTTCCGGACTGCTTAGGACTGGAGGGGGCTTGAGCTGCGTCAGCAGTCTCCCCCTGTAAATTGCTTGAAAGACCTCAAAGAGGACACGAAGTGGGTGTGTCCGTTATACTGCATTCCAACCGAAATGCATGCTTGATGTGTCTGACTCGTGTGGGTAGATGTGCCAGCAAGAGCCCTCCCCTGCTTTGGCATGCTGGCCAAACTGTCGCCCACTTGTGCCCCTTGCAGCAAGGCGCCGGGTCACAGCTGCTAGCCCAAGTACCGAAGGTATCATCGACATCATCCAATTCACAAGTCTGCAACATGTCCGGCTGCGTGCCCGAGCCCGAAACCTTGAAGGGCTTTGTTCGCCCCTCGATGTGAGCTTTCTCTTCCCATCACTTCGTATGTGCTTCGTTGCCACGTGTCTCTTTAGTCCCTATCACAATGGCTTTGCCGAAGTTGCCTTCAGTGTCACTTCCAAAACATCGACGCACAGGGCCAAGGCGCCTGCCAGCCATTTATAGGCAGCCCAAGCCAGCTGGGAACAATCGGGCGTCGCGGGCAGCCCACGAACTCGATTGGAAAGAACATCCTGGGTTTCCAATTGAAAGGTGCAGTGGTGGTGGAACACGTGGGCAAAAGCAAATCACACCGGAGAAGATCCCAAATAGCTGGATGTGCAATCCAGACCCATGATGCGAGTCATCCCAAGGCTGAATGAGTACATTCAAACACCAGGGCTCGTGAAGCGTCCACAGGCAGGGAAGTTCGCATCTGCCAAAAAAGGACCGTCGGGCGAAACATCCAGGACAAGACGCGAAATAGAAAACTTCCGACGAAAGATGGGTGTCTGCGAAGAAGCAAAAGCAGCACAAGAGTGACTCAAGAAGCGTGAAGGCAAGGGCTTTCAGTCAAGACATGGAGGACTTTCCGGAAGCATTCAATGAGGGGTGGTAGGAAGCATCAACAGCCTGCGAGTTCACATGCAACACCACACAATCACGAGTAGGCGCAAAAAATCAGATTGCATGTCTCTACGTGAAGCATCCAACAGCGAGCGAGGTTATACAGTTCGGACCCAGCGCAGGAGCTTGTTGGACAAAACATCCATCAGGTAGGCAGTCATACGGAGCCGAGAAGCTGAACAAGCAAGTGAGTTCACTGTCCACCCCAAACACCAGGATGGAGTTGTGCTAAGCCTGGGAATAAGCAGCTATGCCGAGCATGCACATCCAACACGGCGTGCTGGCCAATTCATCCAACACAAGGGGAGGGGCGCGAAATGCCATACGTCTAACACAAGGCGGGTAGATGCACAGCAGCCACTTGAGTGGTCGAATCTGACAGGGACCGAAACAAGCAACACCAAAGAAGTCGTGCGAAGCATTCAAAAGCATGGGAGTTCACGTCCAACAGAGGTAAGGAGTGGTGAGCCACATCTAACATGTCAGCGAAGTTGACTCTTCACATTCAACAGGGAGCTTCGGGGGAAGTGCCTCGCAGCTAGCACAAGGCGAGGGTGCGAGAGAGAGAGAGGTTGAGATTGAGATTGAGAGAGCGGGAGGCGAGGCACCCATGTCCAACAAGTCTGCTCG